AATTGTCTCTGTAAAATCTTACTCACAATAAAATTTCTGTTGTTAAGAGCTTCTGTTTCCTTGATCTCTCTCTGTCACTACAGTTACGCACAGAGCCTCTCGCCAGCTGCCACCTGGGATGTAACCCTGCTAAACTGGCTTCCATGCTATCACCTAGGAGCAACAGGGAGAAAAATACCACAGTCAGCAGAAGAAGAAACTCCCAGTCAGTGAGAAGGCTGTTTGTCTGGGAGTTTCTGGTGGAGATTTGTCTCTAATGTTATCAAATGTAGCCCCAAAGTGTCATTCTACCCAAAGGGGCCTTCTTCAGCATCACAGGAAAAGAGGAAAAGAGAACAGGGCAGTGTACTTTTTAAACTCTCATCCTCTTATCAGGATCACAGACCTACCAAGCATAATTCTGGCAATCTAACACAGGAGAGTCTAAATTAGTGAGAATCTCTTATTGCAAAGAATCTCACAGGTTACAGCCTTCAAAACAGCATGCATACTCCGGGCACTCTTGGATGAGACTGATCATTTGGATCCATTTCAACCAGTGTTCAGGCATGGTTTTGGCATGGAAATAGACTTGGTTGCCGTGTACGGTGACCTATGCTGGGTGAGATATGGGGGAGTATGACTCTGATGATACTCTTCAAGCTCTCTGCAGCTTTCATCAACCATAGTAAACTTCTGGAGCAACTGTCGAGTTGGAAGTGAGCAACACTGTGTGGCAGGGTTCTGCTTCTACTTAGACAGCAGTCTCCAGAAGGTGATGCTTAGGGAATATTGTTCAGTCTCATGGATTCTCCAGTTCCTTGAGGTTCTGTTCTGTCCCCCATCCAGCTTAACATCTCCATGAAACTGGTGAGTGGGGCCATCTGGAGTTTTGGAGCACACTGCTACCAGTACATCTATGGCACACAGCTCTATTTCTCCTTTTCATCATTGGCAGGTTAGGCAGTGGATGTGCTAAACTGGTGTCTCTCTAAAATAAAGGACAGGATGAGCTAACAAACTGGAAAATCCAGAGAAGATTGAGATGCTGTTTGTGGGTGATTCCTTTGACCACAGGGAAGTGTTCAACCTTTTCTAGATGGGATCACATTCCTCCTGAAGGAGCAGGTTTGTAGCTTGGGAGTTCTCCTTGATCCATCTTTGTTACTTGAGGCTCAGGCAGCCTCAGTGGCTCAGAGCACCTTTTACTAGCTTTGGCTGGTAACCTAGTTTTGCCCCTATCTGAACAGAGATAGCTTGGTTTCAGTAAATTATGCTCTGGTGGATTAGATTACTGTAATACATGCAGAGGGTGGCAACAAGGGAGAAGGTCTTTTCGGTAGTGGCCCCCATCTTTGGGACAACTTCCTGCTTTGGCCCACCTGGCACAAACTTGTCGACTTTTTGGTACCAGGTCTGGGCAGTCCATTATGCAGAGACCTTTAAATATCTCATTGTTGTATACTTTGTCCAGAGAGCTTCAACTATGGGGTGAAATAGAAATGAAATAAATAAATAATACAGCAGGTGACAATTGGTATGGTTAACTGAGAGCCAGTGTGGTGTCGTGGTTAAGAGCATGGAATTGGGACTCAGGCGATCTGGGTTCTACTCCCCGCTCAGCCATGGAGCCAACTGGGTGACTTTGGGCCAGTCACAGACTCTCAGCCCAACCTACCTCACAGGGTTGTTGTGGGAATAAGATGGAGGAGGAGATATAAGCTGCCTTGAGCCCTTTTTATAAATCAATAAATAAACAAAATAAAAATAAATAAAAACTACAGCCATCAGACACCAGGACAATTGTTTTTCAGTTGTAATCTCTGTAGCTCAGGGGGCTTGAGTCAGGAGTAAATTATTCTAAAGCTAATCTAACCCAAGTAATAAAAGATGAAGTTTCAATCTATACAGAAGACCATACTAACTTTGCATTCTGTATTGCAACCTCTATATACTAACAATCTAGGCTTAACAAATCTAAAATACTAAAACATGTTCAATAGCAAGTCCACAATGTTCCCACATGCAGAGATCTGAATGCTCAGAGCCTCCAGAAAATCCAAAATGCAGTGTTTATTCTCTTCCTGCTGAGCCTAGGATTTTACAAAATGAAAAGTACAAAAATCAAAGTCCATGCGTAAGCACAGTCATGAGAAGCATGCCCATCTTTTCACAGGAGGGTCCTCAGATCGTCCAAAAGAATAAACAGTCCAAGTACATAGACATTCCATTAACAGAAAATTCTTTTACCCCAAGTATAGATGGATCCAATCATAACAACACAGGCGGAAAGTTAAGATGTCTTGTAATGCTTTCAAGACTGAGCAGCTGCTTTTCAAGCAAGAAGTAGATACAATGGCTCTTCTGCCATGCCTCCAACATCATGTGAGGTTTCTTTTACCTTCTAACTTTCAGGGTAGGCTTCAACCTAAGTGACACATAAGTTAGTTCCACCTTCTGCTAGATTCTTATGCCTGCAAAGGCCAAAAAATGCAGCTAGGAAGGGGAGTGACCCTACTCTGTTTGCTATCAGCTGAGAAGACTGAAGGAGCTTCTCCCCAACAGCCTCAATGTGCCACAGGATTATAAAAGCCTCATCCAATCAGACTACCTCAAATTAACATGAATAGGCTTTAACACTTGTGGTGGGCTTTTCGTCTCTCTTCTGTGTCTCTGAGTATTTCAATGTGCTTAGAGGAGTACCAAAGAAACTAGAAATTTATTGTGTGCTGAATACATGTTACCAATTACTTACTTCCATAATTGCAGTAGAATACTGTATATTTGAACATTTTGTCTGCCTGGTTTTCATTTTTTAAAAGTACAAATCATAAAAATGCTTGTACTGGGAAGTGTGTTAGCTAGGTTTTGACAGGATTATACATTCAAAGTCAAGGGTTATGAAAGTTAGTAAGGAATGCACTCAGAACCCTTGGTTTTCCCCTAGTCTTAGTCAATCTAATAAGCTTATCCTCATAATTAACAATTGATAAGTACTGCCATGAGGCCCAGTCCTCCTCCCCCTAAACACACTGCTCCAGGATTTCTTTTCACACGGCTTTTACTGTTACACATGTCTATTGCTGCACAGCTCTGAGTTCAGCCAGAGTAAAGAGCTGAGCCTTCTCTGACATCCTAGTCTTCCTCCTCTTTATACTCCAATCACCTGCACTTTTGATGTCACTTCCTCAAGAGGAGGGATCTCCATTTCAGACTGGCTGCTGTGTGCTTGTCTCCTCCTGCAGGCCTGATATTGGTAGACCGGGGCTCCTCTCAGTCCCTGCTGGCAACTGCTCTCATTCGCCTATCTCTTTGTTCCCACAGGCCTGTTGCCCATTTGCCTCAGCTTCCTGGACTAACTTCTCCACCTGCTCCCCAGACATTCCTTGACCTTGACCTGCTACTGGAGCTGGCTGAGAATCCACAACCATTTTGTCTTCATTGTCTGAACGTGCATTCCCATCAAAGCTATAATCTGTCCATGTGCATTCTGGCACTGACTTGATGCTTGTGCACAACAGGTACCATGCCACCATTCCACAACATGGTATTTTCATGGGGAAAAAAGCTCCTGAATATCCCACCATAGTAAAGAAAATACATGACACAGGAGGACAAATGACTAAGCTTTTGCTTCCAAAGAGAAAATATTCAGTTGTGCCAGTTGGCAAGAATTTTTCTACATTGTTTTTATGATTTTACAGTAAATGTAGTAAGTCAGTCTGTCATTTCTTTCCATTGAATTAAAGTTTGTGGAATTGTCATGGTTCTGTCCACAACATTCAAGCATTCTGCATTACAGAAGTTTCAGCAGCAGCAAAAATTACTGGACAAATTACTGGAGCTGGGCAAATCGAAAAATAATGATGAGTGATATTATAGCCATTCTTTTCATATTATATATCTGTACAATTGAATCCAGTAGATTGTGTTACTGGAATCATGACAGTTTTTAAAAAAACAATCTATTTAGCAGGAACAGAAATTTAAACCATCTTGTGGGTTTGGATATGAATAATGTCAACCTTTTGTTTCTTGGATAAAATAAAACAGACCATCAGAGATCTGTTTCCAGTTCAGATGATTGTCAGTTGCAACCAAATTATCAAGAGCAACACTTATACATTGTATTTTTCATTTTTATATCAGATATTGGCAGATTTGTTCTAGTAATAAGCTAGTTTGTAGTTACATAACCATTTGTTTTACACTGTTTATTGCCCTGCATGCGGTAATAAACAATGGCTGGACTTTTATTTGCTGACTTTTGTTTGTAATGAAACATCTCACTTAGAAACAAGGATTATCATTTATGAAACATCTAATTACGAAATAGTTCTGTGCTGTGCACCAGTGATTTTAAACCATTCAAAAAAACTTGGAACAAATATAACATTTTTATTCAGCATTCAGTTGTATGTGTTCTAAGATCCATGATGCTTCAAGAATTATTCCTGCTAGAACAAAGTGGAAACACTTAAAATATACCTCTATCCTTAAACAAGGTGATATCATGTACTATTTATCTTCTCCTCCCTGGCATATTTATGCAGTATCTCCTTGATTTCTGAAACCATCACTGACTTGGGTGAGTTTACTGGCTGTATTCAGAGAATTATACCTTAGCCTAGTATGTAGATGGCTCCTGCTTCCTTTGGCATGAATAATTAAACCAGGAAGCTTTCAATAAACTACAATTCTTTTCACCTGAACCAAGTAACTATGATTGAAAGCTTCAGAACAGGCAAGAATTTGAAAACACAGTTTGAAATTGGTTTAATATCCAGACTTGCTCCAATCAAATTCAGGTATCACAGGAAACTGTGGTTAATTAGAGGCTTTCTAGTTTTTTCATGTCACAAAGCAGGAATCAATGGAGCTGTAGCAAAAGATTTCTTCATATCTTAGTTTCTTAAGGCAAGATATGATGCTAGATTTACAAAATTACATGGACCATTCTTCTTTCTTCCTATGCATGACATTCTGCAGTTTGAACACTCATGTGATTGATCTTTTCTCAGAAATAGGTTGGACTGAGTCTGATAGCACCTTCCTTTATATAAGCCATAGTCGAAATTGTCCTAAGCCAAAAAATCAGGATGAAGGCTTTCTTGTGTAAACACCATGCAGAATCCAACAGGATGCTCCAGCTCTACTCATTCCATTGAGCTTACAGGAGTGACTAGTTGTGCAACAGGATTTTGGTGCTTCTCAGAATAACTCCAGAAACTGGCAGAAATGTTCAGATTATGACAGGAAAGCTGTCTTGTGCAAGCTCCATTAACCTATCCCATTCTGTAAAGATGGGCCTTCGCTTATTTAGGGGGAATTGTGCAACAACACCATTGCATGGGTCATTATAACATGAACTGGCTAAAGGCTCTATGGAGAAGGAAGAGTTAACTGAAAAAAGGGCAAGATGCTACAACTGCCAGGTGTTTGCTCAGTGAGACACTGGCATCAAAGGTCAGGTGAGAGGGCTGGACAGGCTCTTCATACGCAGAAGGGGAAGATACTGTAAATTATATGCAAGGACAGAGGAATTCACACTCCCAAGGACAGGGCAGGAAACTGGGGCCTCACCTGAGATCCATCACACACTGTCACCCAGTGAGCCATCTGATCAGGGCTGGGGAATAAAAGAGGAGAGCCTGCAGGGGCTCAGGGTACCTTTTCAAGTAGAGGTTCCATTCCTGCCACCAGACTCTTTGCTGAAGAACATGTACAACCCTGTGTCTTCAGTTGGTACAGTAGGTACGTTGGTGCTAGGCTAGGTGAGGCTTTGTTATTTTGTGTCTGATGAGGCCAAATTGGCCTGGTGTCTCAGGAGGGTATCAGTGCGGCTCTCCAAATTCCCTTTTCCTTCCTCTCCCTTTTTGTGTGTATCTTGTGCCTAGTGTGCTTTAGCTGTTTTAGTAACCTCTGCCCCTATCTTTTAGCCTTTTAATAAAATCTCTTTTTCCCCCCCAAAAGTTGGGTTGTCATGTGCCTTATCCAGTGTCTGGCTGGGTGCAGATGGCCAAAGGAGTTGAGGAATCTTGGGTAGCTGCCTTCTACAGTCGTCACTCATGCAAGGGTATGGATGCACTTAGTGGTTCTTCAGTATAAATATCAGAGAACATCTGGACATACGTAAGAGAAGCGTGCTAGCAGATCTAGTCAATTGTTGTATATTTATTGAGCAAAGTTAAGGACCAATGTGGAGCATCCTTGTATTGTGCAGTTTTATGTTGTGAACCACAAAAAAAGCTTTGACTATTAGGTGGTATTAAAATATAATAAAGAAATAAGAGTCTGTCATAAATTATGTTCTATAAGGATCCCTTCCTATGAGCTACACACATAGGAAAAAGGAATCAAGCAGTAATTTAACATTCAATCTATCTTTCTATCTATCCATCTATCTAATTAATATACTGCCCAACAGCCAAAGGTCTCTTTTTATCCTTCTAATCTTTTAAAACTCTTTTTGAAGTTTTATGTTATATTAAGGGTGGGGGGAGAGATAGAGAGAGAGAATTAATATCAACATATTGCTATTTACTGATTTCTACACTGCCTTCCTAGATAGTATACATAATTGTTGTTGGTTTTAATTTCTTTTAAACCACCCAGAGCCTATAGGAATGGGTTGGTATATAAAAATCAAAATAAATAGCTAAAGTGCTTGCAGAGATGCATTGGCTTACTCAGTCCTATGCACATTCCTGGCTACCAGTAGAACTGCTGTTGTGCACAAGAGGAGTCACCCTCCACATTCTCTCTCACTTACGTGGTTTGGCCAGCTTTCTGGTGATGTATGTGATGCTTTTATGAGGTAATAATAATAATAGTATGTTCATCAAGTGCCTGAACGACCAGGCACTGTAGAAGGTTAATTGTAAATAGAAGGTTAATTATAAATAGAAGGTTAATTGTAAACAGGCTCACAATTCAAATCAGACAAGATACATGGAGATCATGGAGAGTGGAGAAAATTAAAAACAGGATGCAACACATTGAGTTGAAAAGAGAAGCAAAATCTGTGAAAGAAAAGATATACTTGGAGAGAGTTTTAAAAGATGTGAATATAGCACAGTAGGAAAGGGGCAAGTCCTACAGTAGGAGGCTGGAATACAAAATGAATATGTATAAAAGGAGGAGTGAGGAAAACTTTACAAATACATGCTCTTCTTTCCTGTTGTTTGGTCTCTACAAAATACAAGGCAATAATTCTATTTTATGTTATGATGATGAAGGGTCAAATAATCCTATAAGCCATATTTAAACTGAATATTTCTGTATTATCTGATAAATTTCTTGGAAGAGGAGAAGCACAAATAACTACATTGTCTTCCCCAAAGCGCCAAACGTGAGTATCCATTCTTACTATTGTTGTATGGAAATTACAGGAAAGTAGTCCTCACAGCTTGTATTCAGTCAGCCAGATAACTCTCTGGACCCTACATTTGCATTTAGGATTTATTCCAAACAAGACACAGAACATGTACACACAACCACCTTTCATTACTTCCATGACAACTCCAGTGTGTGACTGCTTTAACTGAATTATTTATTCTACTCAGGCTTCTATAGCAGGGTTTTTGTGGAGTACTGCTCTATTTTTTGGTATTCTGGTTGGACTTCACCAAAAAGCCAATCAGTCCAAATGAGCATGTAGATGAGTCTTATTGCTGGCATGGAGGACCTCCAGCCTTCAGGCCTGCTCTGGCCTGTGATCTCCCACTAGCTTCTTGCCCAGGCCCTGACCCTTTTCTGAGAAGCAAAACGGTCTTGTTTCCAACAAGCTGCTGCTAAGTGTGTGTGTGTGTGTGTAGTGAGCATTGGAAAAAGCTATGCTTCTCAGAGCTCAGTAGGGAAAATTTCTTATAAGCAATCAGCTGCTGATGTGAGGTATGAGCTTTTTCCTACCAGGGAGAATGTACAAGGGGAAAAAATTGCTGAATGTATCCATCCTGCTTACTTCTGGGATTAGTCCTGGTTGCTCGTGAGTAGACATAGTTGTGACGAGATGCCCTGCTCCTGCTCACTTCCGAGTAGACACGCAGAGGCTTGATGCTATTCGTTAAGTGCACCTGAGTTATTTGTGCCTGCTTGCTTCTGAGCAGATGTGCAATGGCACATCCTACTGATGTCTGAGTATGCTTACAATTGATAGGAGCCACATTTTAGCCCCATTCATCCTGCTTTTGGCAGATCCCACTGATATGTTGCTGCCCCTGAGACCTTCGCTAAAATCAGACTTAGCCCTCTGCCTATGGACTAGTGTCAGGACTATCCAGAGATCACGTCTGTAAGTCTAGAGAAAAAAAGGCCAAATAACTTGCATAGCAAGGTTTTTAAAACATTGAAGAGGATTTTAAGGATTTTGTGTGTCTCATTTTCTAGTTGAAATTTTTGTGAAGCAAGATCCTGCTGAATGGACACAACCAATGCTTGAATAAAAACCTTCAGTACTTGAGCAAAACAAAGCTCCAGTGCTTAAGATTACTTAATTTCTAGCAGTCTAAACAAGGGTCAGATCAAAAGATGCTTAGAGAAGTTTCTGGCTTTATAAGATTTTGCTAGTTGGCATCAGTAATTGGCTTTTTCCCCTCTTGGAACTAAATTAAATAGCAGGGACAGAAGTGCATATATAGACAAATCAACTATACTGAGTTTTTAAAGGTACCGGATGTCGCTTGGAATGTGCTAAACAAGTCACAAGTAACAGTAAACAAGCCAATGCCCATAATTCCCTTGGATCACTTTCTTTTATCTTATTAAAAAGTCTAGAGATCATAAAGAAATCACACACCACTCATCTAGTCTTGTTTGGACCAGTCAGTACTATAGATGAGCCGAAAATCTTTCCATCACCCTTGGATTTGTTCCCTCTATTTGTTCTGTATAGTTTCAGTGCAGCACTCATAAACATGAGGTACAAATCAAAATGCTTGCCCCTCATATTAGACATGCATTATTTGTGTGTATATGCCTCTTCATCTGGCAAGACATCCACCAAATTCAAGACACCTCCAGAGATATCTTCTGTTACAGTACAAGAAGATAGTATTGAGGTTAAAGCAATGGGAAACGCATATGCATACTTGCAAGTCTTTGCACACATTTACTGGGCCTCCTTGGATCATGACTCATGTCAAAAGAAGACTGTTTACCAGAGTTGCATCACATGGAAGAAATGAGCAAGTTAGGCCATCCTTCTAAAACAAAATTAACCATTTAAATAGCAGGTTTAATGCACAATTCTCATTAAGTTTTTCTCAGAAATACCTTACCAAAAATGTAGCTACTGTTACTATTTTACAGGTGGGAGGCTGGCAGTGTTGCTTATCCAAAGCCACTACACAGGAAGAAGATTTAAAACCAGATTTTTCATTTCTGGGCCACCTTGGTCCTTGGCATTACAGGATTTGAGGCAAGTCCATGAAGCAATTTCCCTCCACAATTCAGCTACAAAAAAGGTAGCCTCGGGAAAGTAGCAGGGACACAGTAAGCAGAGGCATATGTTTGCCACCCCTGCTCTAAATGTTGGCTGGGCAATCATTGTGATATAAGCTGATACCATACGTCTCCCATCGATACAGCTGTGTATAGACAGGTGAGGGGAGCAGCATATGGTGAGAAGCAAAGTCTGGAGTTCACATAGATTCTGACTATCAGGTACATCACATAACAATATCCATTCCCAAATGGAGATGTAGCCATTGGGAATGAGACTGTGGATAGAAAGGATTATGAGCTGATGAGAATGTGGACAGAAAGGATTATGCCTGAACAAATCAGTTGTTTCACAAACCAAGATAAAGAGGAAGATGTTTTCTAATGAAGAAATAAAACATGCTAGAATTTTTCATATGCAATGAAAACATTAGTTAAGAATGATTGAGACATTTCTTTTTGCTTGATAATTCCTAATTATGACAAACAATTTCCAAAAGGATGTTCTATATTTTTAAATATAGCACATGCTTTTATTGGAGAGACATTACAGCTGCTGAAAACAAACTGGAATTTTCTTTTAATGGTTAAATCAAAATAATACAAGCAATACTTTATCCAGAGGCTACTTTATCCACAACATAATAGTTATCTTACTATATACCTAGACACCAGTGTTACAAGAACCAACCTCCATTTTAAGCTTGGTTTATAGATGAAGCAGCCTTGGATGTACTTTTATTAATTTTCACATTTCCACTATTCAAGGGATACAGAATAGGAATTTCCTTAGCTATTCCTTAGCTCAGTTCAATGAACTTTTTAAAGACTGATTTCCATTGCAGAGGCCAGGCCAAGCACATTAGTTGTAAGAAAGATTGGGAAATGTTTTCTAAGCCTTTACAGTAATGAAGGTTTGCAATTCTCTGTACCCAATTAAAAATGCTTTTCCCTATGGTTGACTCTCACATCCATTCTCAACCATTTATATTTTGTCTGATGTCTCAAATTCCCATTCTCATCTAAACATGTAAATAATCTCTATTGAAATGCATTGTAAAGTGAAATGAATATTCTGTTTAAAATGATAGTCACTTCATGCTTTTGTTGTATTCCTTGGTTATAGGATGAATTGAATTCACATCCCTCTATTCAGCTCATATTCTTCCAAATCAAAGTTGAGGGTCTTCCCCCAAACCCCCCTTTTTAAGGTGTATATGCAATTCTAATGTTTTTCCTCCCATCAGACCAATGATCCATCTAATGCAGTGTTCTGTCTCCAACAACAGCCAGACAATTCTTTCTAGGAATCTCATAAGCAGCCGTTACCCTGAGTCCCAACATTTGGGAGTCAGCGGTTTAAGTGAATCACATCCCAACTGTGAATGTGTTACCTGAGCCTGTGGCTGAAGGACTAGGTGTGGAAGGAAGGAAGCATCCAATATATGAGTCTGGGTTCTAAGCTGGTTCTCCCCTCATGTGCAATTTTATTTTTATCTTTTTTTGATCTTGCAAATTACTGGATTTTGACGCCTTTGCACACATTTGAGTCTGCATTTGGCAATTTAGTTAGCTTTACCTTCCGGAGAAGTTTTGGAGTTCTGTAGGGCTGCAAAGGGAGAAGAGAGGAAAGGAAATCCCATTGCAGAAGAAGTCCCCTTGTACAGCTTTGAATGCAAATCAATGTTGATTGTAAGTAGCAGTTGAAACTATGTTAATGCCTGATAGGTTAGGAAGGACAATGAAGCAACCAGGACACTACAAGAGAAGGCAAAAGATCATGAGGGTGGGGGAGGCAGAGCAGCAGCAAAGGAGAAATCTTTCATGCAAGAAGTCTGCTTGTGTGACCCTGGATGTAGTCCCGTGCAAACTGTAAGGAACATCTGGAATAATGATAATATCAAAAAAACACTCATAGCATCATAGAATAGTAGAGTCAGAGGGGGCCAGAAGGCCATCCGGTCCAACCCCCTGCTCAGTGCAGGACACCAGGTTAAACCATCCCATACCAGATAACTGTCCAGTTGCATCTTGAATGCCTGTAGTATGGCAGAGCACAGAACCCCCCTTGGTAATTGGTTCCATTGTCATACTGCTCTAACAATCAGGATTTCTTTCCTGATGTCTAGCCAAAATCTTGCTTCCTGTAAGTTGAGCCCTTTATTCCATGTCCTACACTCTGGGATGATTCAGAAGAGATTCTGTCCTTCTCCCCTTTCAAGTACTTGTAGAGTACTATCATCTCTTCCCTTGGTCTTCTCTTCTCCAGGAGAAACAGTTCTGTTAATCTCTCTTCACAAGGCATCAAGGATCATCCTTGCTGCCTTCCTCTGAATCCTTTCCAGCTTGCTGCATATTTCTTCAACTGTGGTGCCAAGAACTGGACTCCAGTTGATGCCTAACCAGTGCTGAGTATAGAGGAACTAGTAAATCATGTTATTTAGAAATGATATTTCTACTTCTGCAGCCTCTTTGCAGCCACGTCACATTGTTGACTCATAGTCAGCTTGTGATCTACATCAATTCCAAGATCCTTCTCACTTCCAGTAGTGTTGAGCCAAATATCCCCCTTCTTGTATCAATGCACTTGGCTCCTTTTTCCTAGGTACATAACTTGGCATTTGTCCATACTGAATTTCATTCTGTTGTTCTTTGCCCAGTGTTCTAAACCAAACCAGCAAAAAGCTGACTAGATAGTGCAACCATTAGGTGGATCCACAATTGGCTGCAAAATCAGACTCAGAGAGTGCTCATCAATGGCACATTCTCAAACTGGGGAGAGGTGACAAATAGGGTACTGCAGGGTTCTGTCCTGGGGCTGGTACTTTTCAAGATTTTTATTAATGATTTAGATGAGGAAGTACAAGGAAACATGATTAAATTTGCAATGACACATATGCTGGGTGGAATAGCAAATATGCTGGAAGTCAGAAATAAGATGCAGGGTGAGCTCAATAGGTTAGAATGCTGGGCAGTGAACCACAGAATGAAACTCAGTAGGGACAAATGCCAAGTCCTTCCTTAGAATCAAAAAACCAAATGCATTGCTGCAATATGGGGAATACTTGGGTTAACAATACTGCAGATGAGAAGGATCTTGGGATGGTTGCAGATCGCAAGCTAAATATGATCCAACAATGCCAATGCAAAAGTGGCAACTGCTATTTTGGGCTGCATTAACAGAAACATCACTTCCCGAACAGGTGAAGTACTAGTTCCACTATACTCAGTACTAGTCGGACCTCACCTGGAGTACTGTATCCAGTTGTCGGCACCTAAGTTTTAAAAAGATGAAGAAAAACTAGTGTGCAGAGGAGGACAACAATGATGATTCAGGGACTGGAAGTTAAGCCCTGTAAGGAAAAATTGAGAGAGCTAGGCATGTTCAGCCTGAAGAAGAGAATATTGACAAGTACGTGAAAGGCTGCCACAAAGGAAGGACAAGATCTCTATTCATTCATTCCAGAGAGCAGGACATGGAATAACGAACTTAAGTTGAAAGAAAGCCGATTTAGACTAGACACTAGGAAGAATTTCCTGACTGTCAGAGCAGTATGACAATGGATCCTATTACCTGGTGAAGTTGTGGGCTTTCCCTCACTGGAGACACCCAGAAAGCAGTCATCTGAATGGGATGGTTTAACTTGGTGTCCTAGAGTATAGGGGGTTGGAATTTGAACACTTCTACCTTTTCTCGGTCATCTGTTATTTATTTATTTATTTATTTATTTATTTATTTATTTATTATTATTATTTATTATTTATTATTTATTATTTATTTATTTATTTATTTATTTATTTATTTATTTAAAAAGCTTCTCTGCCGCCCCATTCGCCGAAGCCTCGGGGCGGCTCACAGCAATAAATAAATAATAACAATATAAAAACAATATAATTGGAGATGTCCTGGCCAAAGAAGTAAAATAAATAAATAATATTAGCAATTAAAATGACGTTTAAATAAAAAGGTCTTCGCCTGGCACCGAAAAACAATTTTGCCATTATCATTTTGCCATCCACAATGAGTAGTTGAACTCTATTCCTTTCCTCTGTGTTTTACTTTGGACATATCTGAAGAAGGCTTTTTGTTGCTTTTAGCATCCCTCAGTTCATTCCTAACTTTAGCTTTCCTGACACCATCCCTGCAATTCTATGCTACCTGCCTGTATTCTTCCTTTGTAACCTGGCCTTCTTCCCACTTCTTATACATGTTCCTTTATGTTTACAGATCATCTGTAAGCATTTCATGAAGCCACATGGACTTTTTCTGTTGTTGTCTACCTCCTTTCCACATTAGAATTGTTTATAACTATGCCTTTAGAATTTCCTTTTTGAAAAATCCCCATCTCTCTTGAACTCCTTTTCTCATTACAGTCACTTGCCATGGAACTTCACTTATCATTGTTCTGAGATTATTAAAATGGGCTTTCTTGAAATTCAGAGTACATGATTGGCTACATTTGGCTTTTGCTTCCATTAGGAGCAAGAATTCAAGTATGGCACGGTCACTTTCCTCCAGACTTCCTGTAGTTGCCACATTGTCCACTAGATCTTCCCTGCTGGTTAAGGATATGTCAAGGATAACCATTCTTTTGGTTCCTTCTTCCACTCTCTGTTGGAGGAGATGATCAGTAACACATATTAGAAAATTCTTGGAAGAGTTGCGATTGGCAGAATTTGTCTCCCAACAGATACTGGAGAAATTGAAGTCCTCTGTAATGAGAACATAATGCCTCCCTGAAACACTGGCAATTTGTTTTTCAAAAGTTTCATCCTTGTCTTCTGCTTGAATGAGTGGTTGATAATAGACCCCAACCACTGTATTCCTTTTATTCCTTGTTCCATTTATATCAATATAAATTCTCTTGACTGGGCTACTAAGCACATCCTCCTCCTGTGCAGAAATGTTTGTCTTTAACATATACTGCCACTCCGCCTCCCTTTCTGTTCCTTCTGTTCTTCTTGAACAGATATATCTTTCAATTGTTGAATTCCAGTCATGGGAGCCATCACACCAAGTTTCAGTTCTACCTATCAGGTCATATTCACCCTCCTGTATCAAAAGTTCAAGTTCATGCTGTTTGTTTGCACATTCTGGGCATTAGTGATGATGATGATGATGATGATGATGATGATGATGTTCATCCATTGTTTTTGATGAGGACCTTGACATCTAACAGGTTGTGAGCTGTCCACAGTGTGTCCACAGGTGGCTGATAAGGCCAATGCAGGCACAGAGTGTTCTGCCACATGTCGGGCAGACATGTGTGGGCACCAGTGTTGCAACATTTGCAACTATGGCTTTACGGAGTGCTCGCTTCTCTTGTGCTATGGTTGTCCTTCTGGCTTCAGATGTTTGGCAGCCTTGGTAGATCAGCATGCGCCATGTCAGTCGGTCTTGTGCCAAGGTCTCCCAGGAGGTGGTGTCGATATCCAGGGACTTGAGAGAGGCTTTCAGCATGTCTTTGTATGCTTCTTTTGTCCCCCGTGCAATTGCTTTCCTCGAGACAGCTCACCAAAGAAGAGCTGTTTGGGGATGCAGTGGTCTGGCATCCTTGCTACATGGCCTGCCCAGCATGTCTGGACTTTCATCAGGAGGGTGTGAACTGACAGCAGGCCTGCTCTGGAGAGGACTCCTGTGTCTGGCACCTTGTCCTGCCACCAGATCCTCAAAAGTCTGTGGAGGCAAGTCATGTGGAAGTGGTTCAGTTGCCTAGTGTGCCTCCTGTGTACTGTCCAAGTCTCACTGGCATACATGAGGGTAGTTAGCACTACTGCTCGGTAGACTTTCAGCTTTGTAGCAAGGCTTATTCCACAGCAGTCCCACACTTTGGTCAGCAGTCTGCCAAATGCAGAGCTTGCCTTTGTGATTCTGCAGTTGACCTCTATGTCAACTGTCACTGTACGGGAAAGGGTGCTACCATGGTATGTAAATTGGTCCACTGCTTGCAGCTTTTGTCCCTTCACTGTGATGGTGGGCTTTGTGTTGGGATTTCAGAGCCGGCTGATGCATCACTTTGGTTTTCTTTGTGTTGATGAGGAGGCCGAAGTTGTCACATGCTGCTGCAAATTTGTCCATGCTGGCTTGCATTTCCTGCTCTGATCCAGCAACCAGGGCACAGTCGTCAGCAAAAAGGAGGTCTAGTAGCACAGTCTCCTTTATCTTGTTGACAGCCTGGAGTCTTCGCAGGTTGAACAGTTTCCCATCGGTCCTGTATTTCAGGCTGACTCCCATGGAATTGTTCTGAAAGACGTCTGTCAGCATGGCTGAAAACATTATGCTGAACAGGGTCAGTGCCAGCACACACCCTTGTTTGACACCGTTGTGACGGGAAAGGCCTCTGAAGCTTTTCCATCATCCAAAACATGAGCCATCATGCCATCGTGGAACTGACGTACCATCAGGATGAATCTGTCAGGGCACCCAAACTTCGACATGATGTGCCACAGACCTTCGTGACTGACAGTGTCAAAAGCCTTGGTGAGATCCACAAAGATGGTGTACAGTTCACGATTCTGCTCTTGACACTTCTCTTGGAGCTGTCGGGCTATGAAGATCATGTCCACAGTGCCACACTCTTTGCAGAAGCCACACTGTGTCTCGGGTAGAAGACCCTGTTCCAGGTGGTCAATCAGGCGATTCAGCAACACACGTGCAAGGATCTTGCCTGCGATGGAGAGCAGTGATATTCCTCTATGATTATCACAGACTTGTCAATTTCCTTTCCTCTTGTAGAGGTGTACGATGGACGCGTCTTTCAGTTCCTGAGGAATGGATCCTTATTCCAGAATGACTGGAACAGCTGAGTGAGTTTGTCGACAAGCACTGCACCACCTTCCTTATAGACTTCCCCTGGGATCACGTCAGATCCTGGGGCCTTGCCACTGGACAGCTGGCTGATGGCCTGTAGGGTTTCAGTCTTTGATGGTGGGACATCCACACTGTGGTTGATATCCGCCTGGGGCATGCTATCAATCGCCTTGTTATCGATGAAGTATGGGCGGTTCAGTACGGATTGGAAGTGCTCAGCCCAACGCTGTAGAATCAGAGTCTTCTCAGTAATGAGAGTTGTACCAAGTCCAGTAGAGGGGAGCTCCCTGAGGGAAGAGGTCTGTACAAGGATCTGAGGGCTTCGTAGAACCGTTTGGCATCATTTCTATCAGCAAACCTCTGGATTTCATCTGCTTTGGCACTCAACCAGGAGTCCTGCATCTTGCGAAGCTTGCTCTGAACGGTCCTGCGAGCATTGGTGAAGGCATTTTTCTTAGCTGTTGACAACGGGTCATTCTGATGAGCACGGTGAAGGCGGTACATTCTGGGCATTAGTATATATACACTGAAGGCCATGTTGTTTATACTCTAACTTTCTTTCTACGTTTTTTGGAAGACTTTTATTGGGCACTGTTAGAGCTGCTTCCTCTGTTGTAGTGCATAAGCCTTTGTCTATTTTCACATCCATGTGTACTTCTCCATCCTTGTAGGATTCACTTTAAAGCACTCCTGATAAACCTCTACATGCTATGGTCAAACACCTAATTTCCAGTCCTTGAACTGTGCAACCCATTCCTTGTCAGCAATCCATCTTCCAGG